ATACTAAATTAACAGATGTAGCTCTCCTTTTAAAGTTGTAGGCGTGCTTTGACATTCTTTACCAGCTTGGGCAATTACAAGAAATTCATTAGGACATCAATCGTTACCCTTGATGGATCTGTCTTGAATTGGGACTTTCCCCCTAAATTTGTAATAAAATTGCTTTGCAGAAAGAGGTCAGCAATAGAGTCTAGATGAGCTTTGGGGAGGGGGGGGGTACACTGTGTCAGGCATTGGGCTGGGGATAACAGAGGTTCTGGTAATGTAGAAATATTGATTAACATTTAAACAGCATCCACTTTGTGGAGCAAAAATGGAAATGGGAGGGTATAGGGTATTCATGGATAGATTAGGTTACAATTATTTTTGAAAAGGTTGATTGCGAAGTATAGAAGAATCTATGTGCACACTGCACTTTGGGGTCTTTGAATGAACAAAATGAAATTAAATTTACGAAATTTTGCTGAAAGTCACTTGCAGTGCACACACAAATGTGTACATGGTACTACTCACACATTCAATATGAAAGGATGGTCCAGATTAATATTAGCTATTTCTCTTCTTAATTTATTTCGAATATGAGGACATTTCGAATATGAGGACATTTCAAGCACAAACCCTTTTCAGGGGGAAATTTCCAATATATGGTAGCTTTATTCCACACTGACTGAAAAAAACACAAGAAAGCGTACAGATTAGACTATTCATCGCCTCTACTAGAACTCATGCTTCTCCTTAACTACCCTAGGTGGGTGGTGTTCTAGAAACGTCAGATTTAATCCCTCCAACTTTATTTCTTCTTCTTGGCTTTACAGGGGTGAGAAAAGTAGCAGTCTTGGGTATTGAGCTTTCGTCAGATTAAAAACACATTGATGAAACAAGGATACTGGGAGATTGATAGCGAGCGGGGAATCCTGCTTTAATATTCCATTCTAAATTAAAATTACCCAGACACTTGGTGAATACATGTGATATCAAAATCAATAGATGAATATAGACCTAGACTAGAATCGTTTTAAATCACATGCGTCATTGAATTGATACGATAGTTGCTGATATCTGACTTGAAATACGATATCTCCAGTTTCAAAAGTTATAATTGTCCATCAGTTCATATTTGTCTGACGTGACCCCTGTTTGACCCACAGTACAGACACCCCTGGGTCACAGATTCTCAGGTCTATATCTGTCAAGACAAGCTCATCGACCCCCTCCCCCCCCCCCCCCTCCTGCGAGCTTTGTCCTTATAGGGCTTTAAAATGCATATAATGATTTATTGATTTATTTTCAGTTACACCATCTGTATATATTTTTTTGTAAGAGCATATCAGTCGTTTGCTATCAGATGGGTCCCCAAAATGCTCGTGAATATTTCATTGTTCTTTGTCCTCGTAACTAAGTTATTCCCCGGGGTGGGGGAGGGGGTGAGGGGAAAGAGGAGAGGGGGAGAGGGGGAGAGGGGAGGGGAAGAGGGAAGGGGAAGAGGGAGGGGGAGAGGGGGAGAGGGGAGGCGAAGAGGGAAGGGGAAGAGGGAGGGGGAGAGGGGGAGAGGGGAGGGGAAGAGGGAAGGGGAAGAGGGAGGGGGACGAGGGAGGGGGATGAGGGAGGGGGACGAGGGAAGAGGGAAGAGGGAGGGAGTGGGGAGAAGGAAGTCGGAAGATGGAAGAGGGAAAGGGAAGGGGGACAGGAAGGGAAGGGAAATTATATAACAGTTTATTATTATATATATATTATTATTATTATAAAAGGAATTATATATCAGGAAGATTTTAAAGAGATCAAGTATACTTGACAACAGTTCTCATAAATAAGCTATAAAATATATGAAAACAGCAACAAGGAAATCTCATTTTCATAACAGAGCTCCAAGGGCTTGGAAAGATCTTTTACATATCCTATCCTCATCCAATTATGATGATAGTTCACTAAAAAGCACAAACCCTCCCCATCTCCTGAATGTGATTCACGCTTGAGCAGCGGTAATAATTACAAACGCTGCTTTCCTCCCTCTTCACAGGGACTTCATCATATCCTTGATATTATTGTCCATTTCTCAAGAGAATGCATAAAGTCAGAGCTGAAGGACGGAGAGATCGATAGCTGGCAGAAGAATACCGACATCGAAATTGGACTCCTGAAAGTTTGATGAGACTGCTCAAGCCCCAGCAGCCACTCCAAAACATTTCCATATTTCATGAAGGGCGAACGGCTGAAGCATGCAAACCTTTTAAATGATTTGAGTTCATTTCCTCTATCCAATCTATCCGAACCGAATTTCAATTAAGATTTTTAATCACAAATTATCTTTCATTCTTTTTTCAAGATAGCATTCAAGTGGAGTTCCTTGTTTTTAGTTTATCTGTGTAATGTTGGAAAACAATAGCCTACATATTCTTCTTCATTCGAAAATATTATGAGCTGATAAACATACAAGTTGGTAAATGTTAGAATGTATTTGACCTGAATTCTTGTATTACAACTGTTTATCTTTACATGTTGTTTACAAAGTATGTTTTATAAAGCCAGTGAACTATTTACAAACACCCAGTGTAATATGTAGGCCTAAAGATGTAAATGTCAGTGTATGATATGGAACATCGACTCCTTTGACTGAGGCCCGGTTTTTATCATTGTGATGAGAAGTTGGATAGAAATAGAATAAACAGCCATGAAGTCAAATAGGCCTCCAAACTATTGTAAAAAGAAATATTTTGAAAGGGCTACCTCTACAACAATACACAATATAGGCCCATATACCAGGGGTACTGAAAGAGCACCTCATGAATACCCTGCCCCCCACCCCCTCCTTCATTGGTACTACAATGAGTAATCGGCAGCGGTGGCAGAACAGTCTCTTGGGGTGGCCACACAAAAGGGGTGTAATGGAGGTATTAACAGCACCCTCCAAATTCTTTCCTTTGTTATATGATGTCAGCGGTGGGATCGATATCAATGCCAATGGCGGACAATAGGGGAACGCCCCCTGTTGTCCCGTCTTGAATAGGGAGGTGAGGGAGAGAAAGAGCAGTGATTGTGGGTGAGATGATACAGGCCACTAGCTTGTGGTACTTCCTTTCTGTTTGGAGTCACTGTCGAGATTTATGCGGCATTATCTCTTTGCTGTGGTTGGTTATATTAGGCCAAAGAGATACCAATTAAGATTACGGTGATATCTCCTTGGTTACTATGGTTAGGCCTGCATCTTGTCTAGTCTTTCATTCATTTGTACTAATTACATTAAAAAAATAAATATTCTAATGCTTGTACTTTTTTTAAAGCTTATCTGCCATAGTTTACAGGAGGGATTAGATCGCCCTGCAAGGTCACTGGACAGGTGGTTATCTCATCAACTCAGCTCTCAGTTAACATAAGAAAAAGAGGATCATGGGGGACCAATGGTCACCGATTAGGCATTGTTTGTTATATAGAGGGCGCAAGTAGCTACAAGTAGTGCAGTGGGCCTTCAAATCTAAAAATTTGGATAAGTTTAGAGCGCAAAGTCAATTTAATACTTCAAGTAATCTTTTTTTTCTATCTTTAAAAAAAATGTTCATAACATATTTTGTCACATTGGTTGTGGCTATTTTGATTTGGATAAAATCTACTTCAGAAACATTTGCTAATTTGGATACTCACAAAATGTATTCATAACTACATAGTTGGCATGACATCAAATATTATACTGTCACCATTCAATAGTGAAAAGAATGGAAACTGCATGTGGGCAAATAGTATCGCAAGAAGAAACAACTTATATAGGTCTACCACTTAGAGAAATGTACAATGTGTTTTCTCTCTTCAAAAAAGTATTTTTCTCTTCAACATTCCTAACAGTGACACTGAGCACACACATACATTCTTCATACGGCTTTGATCTAAGCTGACGAGATTGACAACATTATTTACATAGCCAACATGGAAGTAAACTTTACATATGCTGAAGTGGACCGCGGAGGCTTCAAAGCGAATTTTTTTTCATTTCATAAACCTTCAGGCTCAGTTCGAAACTGTGCCAAGAACATCATGAAGCACTGATGCAAGGCAATGGTTTCAGTAAGAATACAATATAATGGTTTTAGTCAGAATGTTCGCCTCTGTATGTAGTTGCAGAATAATTATAATGGGTTTTACAGGATTCAGCCCCCCCCCCCCCTCAAGGGAAGCACAATTTGTGGAAATTTGCCCTCAGCCTCATGTATGTTGTCTATGAATAAACTGCAATATTTATTCATTACCACCCTATGAGAGATGCACTGAAAAACCAGTCAGCAGTTTAAATTTTCCTCTACTTTAGGTTTGTTGTTTTTCTGAGCAAACATTCATCATTTGCTCTTCACTTCAAGCAAAGAAAGGGAAAACAGATTAAGGAGGAAAAAAAGACTTGAAGCATTTGGAGTGTTTTACACTACCGAAACCCTTTATGATATGCAAATCAATTGTTCATAATGTCAGTTCAATAGGAAGTCTGTCTGCTGTAAATCATGCTAGTGACTAGTTACATGAAGGAATGCTCATTATTTTGCCCTGAGATAGATGTGCATGTAGATGCTCATTTTATAGAGTTTGGGGGGTTCATATTTCTATCCAGAGAATGTTCATAAAGCCAAGGGTTGCCTTTTTTTAAAGCCTATCTGCACTAGTTTGGCCAGGAGGGATTAGACCTCCCTGCATGGTCACTGACAGGTGGTTATCTCATCAAATCAGCTCTCAATTAACATAAGAAAAAGGGGATAATGGGGGACCAATGATTGCCACTTAGGCATTGTTTGCCAAATAGAGGGCGCAAGTAGCTACAAGTAGTGCAGTGGGGCTTTAAAGAAAGTGTTGTCTCATCCATTAAGTCATAAAGCTTCGCCAAGCTGTTTGACACGCAGGTCAAATCCAAAAAGACGGAGAAATGCTCCTACTTTCAATCTGCAACAAAACAATCAACTACTACTGCTACTACCATCTTGCCCCACCCTGCCCCGCCCTGCCCCGCCCGATAGATAGATACTCACTGTTTACATAGGTTGACCAGGTCTAGGTCTGTGGTGTTGGCTGGAAGGCCCCGGATGTAGAGGTTGGTTTTGCTGAGCTGCTCGTTGCCACTATTGCTACTCTGTGACGAAGGGGAATGTGGTGATGGTAGCTGTGAGGAGGGGGTGGACGACCCCGCTGACCCCCCACTGCCTGAACTGTGGGGCCCGGGCATGCCTCTCATGGTGGGGTATGTCTGTAGGAGGAGGAAGAGAAATGGAAAGATTGGTAATTGTTTGGTTTCACCATGGTTTCACAAGATGAGAGAAGTGCATGACTCAATCTTATGGGCTGTACCCACCCTGGTTCTCAATCATACAAAACAACAATGACAATAATATATATATACATTGTAAAATTAGGTGTGATTAATGAATAACTGACATGACAAACACATTTGCAAAACACTTGTTAGGCATAGTCCAGACCATCACCAGTTCACCACCATCATCACCACCACCAACATTTTCATCATCACCATCATCAACGCCACCACCATCATCATCATCACCATCACCATCACCATCATCACCACCACCATCACCATCACCATCATCACCACCATAACCATCACCATCATCATCACCATCACCACCACCATTCTCATTATCATCACTGGCATCAATCAATCGGGGTAGGCTCATCCATAAACGATCATTAATACACAATCTCATACCTTATTCTCATATGCAACACAATTGCATTGATAACAACTACATGTTCCTATTTTCATCATACTAATGCTATATCTCAGCTCTACTTCTCCTGTCTAAATAAATACATAAAACTATCAACTTTGAAGGATAAATCTCTATGTCCTTATAGCATCAATAACAGGTCAACCCAGAAGCCAAGAGAAGACATACTGGCGCTAATCCCTTTCAATGGATTCAGAAGGGGGACCTCCACCCCCTTCTTAATCCCCTAGACAAAGGGCAAGAGACTCTTTATCATTACAGAGAGGGGGAAGCTTTTGAAGGGATTAGCCTTTATAAACAAGCTTTGGATGCTATTTTCAGACTTTCCAAACAAGCCGAGGGCAAAACAAAATTAAAATGCGGCTTCCTTTCAGTTTCTCCCTAGAAGTAGAAGTATTCATGCAAAAGCTGGGGCATTGAAACATTGGGGGGGGGGGGGGAAAGCTATTAAGAAGAGGTTTCTTTTTTAAACTGTGAAAACTGAAAAAAATTGTATTGAACATGTTCCCAAAGGGCCAATATAAATTTTCTCTTAAAAATCTGCCCTTTGATAAAACAGACCCAGGTCAAATCCCCCAAAATGAACTGATACAGTTTATAGACAAAATATTTTGATTAACAAACTCTGATACTATGAGGTAAATGTATCCACCATTCATGTCACTAAATTCCATGATAAGGGGCATGTAAATGTATACCTTATCCCAATATACATGTAGCTTCGTAACCAACATTTATCAGATATTTCTTTCAATAAATTTAAATAAATACACTGTAAAAGTTTAAAACAGGTATAATGATGAGTTTAAAACCTCCCATTTCTGCGAATGATACGGTGTGCACTATTCTGTGTTTTCTGATGGCTGAAAGTGCCCCACCCCCTCCCCATTTTAAAGATTCATATTCATAACACCATCTTTTTCTTCAGATATAAAGATTGAATCACAAGTCTGCATCCTTCTTCAAACATAATATTCAAGCCAGGTACACATATTTATCAATGTTTTAAACAGAACCCTGCCTCTGTACCCCCACCCCTCACCCTCTCTCTTTCACATCATCAACCAGAGAGTACACCCCTTTTCTGGAAAATGGGATGGTCCAAAGAACACTTTTTCTCATAGAGAGTAATGGTTCTTTGGCCTGTACCAATGAGGTGACGGGAGAGGTCAGGGATGGAATGTAGTACCAAATTCTTCTGGTATTTTCATTTTCGCTTCACTGTTTGGGATCACATACTGGGGACAGTGGTTAACCTAAAACAGAAACCTTCCTTGGTTCAAGTTTGTTGAAACTTGCTAAATTAGTGACATGTCCGTGGTAGAATTGCGGTCAGTTCCAAGTGCATTGCAAAATATTTGTATTATCGTGCTCATGCAGTGTCCGACCTCTTGTAATTCTTCCATTTTGACTTTCATTTCTGAAGTTTGGACTTTTTTGTACTTATTCTATATCATCCTCTGCAGTTATGCATTTATCTTTTAGACTGTATTTAAAAAAAAAAACCTAAATACAGTGAATATATTTTACATTTGTCTCATTATAACTAGAATAACTAGAATATATTTAATATTAAATTATTTGTCAAATAATCAATATTTGATATTTTTTCATCAGAAACAGAATTTTACTAGTAACATGCCTTAGGATTAAGAACAGCCTTTAAACGCAACCTGCTTCATCCACTATATGGCTTAGTCAATGAATATATAATAAGCTGACGCATAAATATGCAAATTTGCACCCCAATACAGACGGGACATCTGTTCCTCCACTCATACTAAGAGCATATTTTATCCCTGCATAGACAAACATGCAATTACACAAGCACCCACGATGCTATTCAGATTGCCAAATTGGCAATAAAACTAGATCCCTAAAACGCCATTACGGGATAAATAGGCGAAGAATCCCTCAAACTCATTAAGCCATCCGCTGAGATATATTAGGTTTATGTTCTTGGTTCCTACTTCTTAATGACTGTGGGTAATTCATCAGAAAAAAATTCGCTTCGTTAGCTGGAATAGCTATGTATTGTCGATGGCAGTAATGGCCGACTTGTGCCTTGTGGGCAGCCAACGGCTTCGTCATGTGTCTTCTGTCTCTACATTGTTGTACCTCCGATTAGTATTCCCTAAGCATAAGCTGACGAATATAAATGAGTTAAATCATTTGCCTGGTTATGTAATTTGCATTTATAATTCTACTTGTGCTTGTTGAGAGTTAAAGGGATAAGTTAAAAACGATACATTTTCATTTCAACAGTTCTATTTCATACTGATAACATAATCGGTCTTTAAATGAACTGTTCCATCAGTTTCAACCCAAACAAGAGTATACATAACTATAGAAAGAAAATATAGCCTCCATAAAATAATGTCTGCTATCAAAGAGCTTGAAGGGTTTTAAATCACATGTTAAAAGGCCTTTTGAAGGCTCTTTGATTTCATACAGATCTAAACATCATTTTAGCTTTCAGTGTCAGAATATACAATAGGACTATAATTTGATTCCCAGAAATAAGATTAGAAATAAGATTACAAATCAAAGTAATTTAGTTAGAGAATAATCTTTTTTCGTGCCTTCTTCCAAGCTTGATTAAAAAACAAAATCTGACTGGATATGCCCACAAGTATATCAACTTAGCTGCTGCTCTATCCCTTTAAGTCTGCCCTGAGCACCATATACATGTAATCCTATTACAGTCTGTACGCCAGCCAGGCCTGCTGGCCACAGTTATGCTATTACACTCAAAATAGATTAGAAACACCATAGAGTGAAGAAAAAGCACTCTAAGCTAGCTGGTCACAAACGAGCAGCTGTGCTCGTTGGCCGCACCTGACATTAGCTGGGCGAGCATGCATGGTACTTGACATGATCATCTGACAGAGGACAAGCTGGAGATGGGTCGGGCGGGGCCAGGTGGGGCCGGTGGGGGAGGGGGGGGGGGGGGAGATGTGGGATAGTAGTGGAAGGGATGCAGGGAGGTGGGAGGCAGGAAGGAAAGTATAGATTGTGGAAGGGGGGGGGGTCAATTTATATTATTATAGAATGACCATCCTACCCTGTTTAAGGAATGAAAACTGAATTATCAAAAAAAAATCAACCTACAAGTACATCATGTAGAAAATTTAAGACTTGGTTGCTGTCAATACACAAATGAAACTAAAAAACTCCACCGTCCACAAACGATAACTGTAAGTAATCAAACTCAACTTGCTCATCTTTTACAAAGAAAGAAGATGCGATGTGAAAATAAAGAGGAAAGAGAAAGAGATCAAACAATGTGGCAAAGAATAATTAAAAAAAGCACATTACAAGGTATTTTCACTCCAATCAATAACTCTCACAAAAAGTATACCTTCCCTTTAAACCGCCCAACCTTCTGCCCCCTGGTATTACAACTTTAACTGACCAATCACACAGTAGGGGGGCAATTGTCCAAGTTTCTTACCTCCCAAAAGTTTTACCGCTCCCAGACTAGGGTCAGAGGTCACGAGGGATGGAATGTGGACTTGGGCTTGCTGGCCTTGATCGGATTTCATTTTTCCCCCATTTTATATTTTCCCTCGCTGATCTCACCCCTCCCCCATTCTTATTTTTCTTGACTTTGCTTTAGGCAAGGTATGGTGAGGTGGTGAGGAGACTTTTTTCAGTGACTGTTATTCTTTCTCAAATCCCTCCTAAAAGTTTGCCTAATATCATTTATTTGAGGAAAGATTACAGAAGCTTTTAGATTTTGATACATTGGCACCACCTGCAACCCCGACCCCACCCCCTTTCCTAGTTTGCGGACACAAACCTTGTAAGTCTTCAAGTAACAGTGTCTGCACTATGAGACTACATGTAGGCTCTGTAATAGCTGCTCCTGGACACAGCCAGAAACTGACAGATCTAGGCTCTGCTCAAGGCTTTAGGAATAGTGGTGTTAAATTCGAGTTTGTGTGTGCAGACTGTCTCCTTCCCACCACCATTATCACAACCACCAGCTATACAACAGAAAATTTGGTATCATAAGGTTACATTGCACTCTACGTTTTGCACACTACATAGTAGTGTTATAGAATATATGACAGCACTGACCATGCACATGATATCATGATTGTATGACTTGTCCCTTTAAAAATATTTATATTTATGCAAGAGAAACCAAAGCTCAAGGTAGACTACATTATGTATATGTAGCACTAACAGTAACAGTTGAGATTTTCAAATATCAATTCTTTCTAGACACATGAAGGACCAATATATTGGAAATAAAATAAGAATAGCAAGGTAAGGTGCTTGTTTCCATTAAATACCAGTTTCACTTTTGATGGTTCAATTTGCAATACTGCATCCTTTACTTCTGTACAGGTAGTACCAGGTACACAACCCTAGCCCCACATATTAGACCACGTGTTGGTATTCCCATCAAACCTCCAATTCTCGCTTGTCCACCGAGATAAAAGCCAGCATTCCACCAACCCACCTTCTCCTCCCGAAAAAGAAAATAATTCCAATCTCCCCCAGGCTTACAACGGGGCTTGACATTAAATTAGCCCCTGATCGGGTTCCACGGCTCTGTCCACCGGCCGTCGATTACACCCTCGTTTACTCTGCTAACACGATTAGCGCTAGAGAAAAGGCCGCGGTGTCGGCCGCCATCCCCTGCTCGTAAGGAGAGTACTTGACACGACTTGGTCGAAACGTGACAGGGGGAGAGAAGTCGAGCCTGCATCTATAAACGGTAACCATTCTAATTGGGGTATGTCGTGAACTGGAATAATTTGACCGGGAGCGTTTCGTTGGAAAGCGACAATGGTTTTGTCCCTTTGGAAATGTGACATGTGGAATATTGGGTTAGTATGTAAGTCGGGATGAGATGGGAGGCAGAGATTGATGCAAAGGTGCCCTCTTTGACATGTTTAAGATAGGCATTTGGATACGCAACATTTCCTTTTTGGTGAACTTTGTCACTATAACATGTTACAGAAATGATGTTAGTTCATCGTCAAAATCAATAAGGAAATTTTTCATGAAAATTTGTCTAGGTATTCAAATGAATTATCCTGTTGGCCTATAGATGTAGTGTACATGAAATTGTAGGGTAAATCTTTGTGATCTAGCTGCTTAAAGAAGTAACACAAGATTCACTACTTGGTTTACGAAATACCAAAAACTGTTCCTGAACACTGTCTTTATTTAAAGACTACTGCTTGGTACTGGTTTTCAAACTCTGATATTTATGTGTGAACTAGCCGCTCTGCTGAAAGCCCCTCCCACACACATAGCATGTTTACAATACAAACAAACATTGGGGGTGAAAAGAATGCCCCAATGTTAACTTCCCCAGCTCAAGAAGCATGTAACACATTCTTATAAGGTCATGTGGCTTTGTGAATGAAATATGCAGACCAGGCACAAATGCGGACGGAGGAGGGAGGGGTGGAAGGATGGATTGATAGATCGATAGGCTGATAAACTGAGAAATCAATGAGCAATTTGATGCAAGAAGGAGTTCCTAAAAAATCACTTAATTTGACATACATGTACACATTTTTTCACAGCCTTTCCCATGAATAAGTTGTCAAAACATGTTCAAAATATTACCAGATTTAGGCCTATAGTATGGTTTAAAAACTGATTCAGATTCTCAACATTACTATTGTAAGATGCTTATGATTTTTTAAAGGTATGTTTGGAGACATTTTAAAGGTATGTTTGGAGACATTTTAAAACTACACTGTTTCAAGTGTAAGCACAGCCTTGTATTGAGTATACCACAACTGACAAAACCAAAACTCTTTCATATACTGTAGAACATGAAGTCCTTCGAAAAATACTAAACTACAAGTGATCTATTTTTTGAGCTCTAGACTAGGACACCATTTAGCCTCTCAAATCATGCTCAAACTTCATGATCATAAATGTGTACATTGAACTGAAATGTGGAGCAGAAGACGGTTACCAGACAGTTACCAGACCTTGATAATACTACATACAAAAATCCCTCAAATTTGAAGGGAGATTTATACTCTTTTCACACTGGTTTTGCTTAACCCCGTACTTTGCTTAGCCCCGTACTATCCTTAACCCCGGACTATTTTTTTGGCTTTTCACACTCGCTGTTTTTAGTCCCGTACTAGCGCCTATTCCGGAATAAGAAAATTCCCGCTGTTCTCACTGCATTTAGTTAACCCCGGATATCGTGTATGTTATGATAGGACATACTTCGCATCTGGCCTCCTGCGATACGCTCCATTGCGTAGTACCGGACTATTTTTCGTTTCTGTTCTCATTCGTTTGCTTAGCACCGCAATTGCGGGGTTAACAGGAGTTAGCACCACAATTGCGGAGTTAGCCCTGCTATTTTGCAGGGTTAGTTAACCCCGTACTATAGGTGGGGTTAGCCAACTTTAGCCCACTTTGGTAAAAGCCAGTGTGAACAGAAAGTGGAATAGGCTTAACCCCGTACTATAGGTGGGGTTAAGACCCCCCCTTAACCCCACCTATAGTACGGGGTTAAGGAAAATATTGCCAGTGTGAAAAGCATATTAGGTATTTCTGAAGGAATTCATGGAATTCCATTTCAAGGTAAATCTCAAGTAATTTCATGAGGATTTCCATGCTCCCCCTTTCCAGTAGAAACAAGTATTGTGGTATTGACCACAAGAATGGTTTCGACCAGAAATTTAGTTTGATTCATTTCCAATCAAAATCATGTGACAGATAATGACATAATGGGGGAGTGGGTAGAAAGAGGAGGGGAGGGGGGGGGGGTAGGTAGGAAGGAGGGGAAATAAGGAAGGAGGCATGTACCATCTGTTTAAAGCCAGAAGGGCTTAAACTTTGTGTAACAGTAATCAAGTTAACGACCTTCTGTCTCCAAACAGACAATATGTACATTGTATTTGTAAGCTGACGAGAAGGGGGGCGGGGCACATACCGGTAGAGGTGATGAGATTAGAGAAAGACTACATACTTTGGGGAACACAAGCCACAAGGAAATTGCACAGGATTTAATCACAGATCAAAGTGTCAATTGTCCATGTACCAGTACAGATCTCTAAAAGATTAATTAAGTCAACAGACTCACATGGAGTGGGAAGTGAAGTACAGATAAAAGAAATGAGGAAATGACACACTGGTTGTTGGAAGATTATAAACCACATTTCTAAACATCCCAAGGAAGCATAAGGGAAGAAGAATCATTTGAAAATGAAAGCTGGAGAAATACAAGATATAATGAGACCACACTGATTACTCATGAAATAATATGCCTAGAAGAAATTACTGCAGATTATAATTATGTCCATTAATAAAGCTAATATGCATAACATACTTGCAAAATGCTTTACAGAGCGAGAATAGAATGTAAACCAGAAGACAAATAAATACAGATTATAGAAATTATCTGATAAAGATGACAGTAATATTACGAGTGCTAAAATAGGCCTATATTCAGAAGTGGTTTAGAAAATTCCATCACATACTACTATCCACAGATCATTATCAACACCTATGCATGAATAAAGAATAAAGATTAAAAAAATAACAAAAGTGCAACCACTCCAGCTCCACAATCAAAAAGCAGGAAGACATGTAGTGAAACAATTTAGTAGTAGCTCTCGACATATTTAGGTAGACAATTTCACACATACAATGCAATGTGTATCTATAAACTTTAGTTGCTATGGAAACAACCGTCTCTGCCTGAATGACCCAAGGAGCAGATTTCTTTTTTTCAAGCAACATTTTCATGATCTTTGAGAACTAAAATAGATTTGGCTCCTACCGAATAAACCCAAACCGCTGTTGGCTGCTGCTGTGAAGGAATGATATACGGAGATTGAGCAAGAGTCTTCATCTCAAGTTTCCAAACAGAATAAAAGATCGGAGGCGCTGACTTGGTTTCGCTCGGTTCCACTCCAAATATTAATATCAATTTTCAAAAAGAGTTACACCCCTTTCTCAAGATGCTCTGGAGAGTGTACTAATTGGAGGAGAGTATTCCTGTATCCATGTATCCAATAGAATAAGCACTATCACGAGCTATGACCTTTGATCTTGCAGCTTTTTTTCGTCTTCAAAACAAAGCAGAGAACACAATGATCCAGAGGTTCAAAGGAGGATAAATGATGCCAGCATCAAAATATTTGTTATGAACATCTAGGTGTTACAATTAAACAAAGACACCAAGATAAGAGGGATGACAAAATTTCCTCCACTGTGATTGTATGTGACTCAAAAGTTGTAAGTTCTCATGGGTCTCGCTTCCCTTTAAGAGCGGCAAAAGAGTAACTGATTCTAGCCGTAGATTTAGTCCTAAAGGCCACGGGATTGCAGCAGAAAAAGCCCAGGCAGAGCTGTCAAATCCCCAGCCGTTCTGAATCCTTTCCCCGACGAGAACGTTAGCATTGCCTAACTGTCCGTCCGTTCGTATAGCACAAGGGGACGTACAGATGAGACAAACCACGCTGACAAGCGTCAAAGCTCAGCTCAGCGCACAGGTGGCTTGATGGAAGGAAACGTCAAACCAAAAGATGAGAATCGTTGGCAAACTTTGAGGAGGAGTCCGTCTGGTGCTCCTATCACAGATGTTAGCCCTGGGCACGGAGTGAGAAGCGACGCAATACTCCCGACCCTGTGTTTATTGAAGTTGAATACAGTTGGTAAAAAAATAGGCAGTGGTTCCCCCAGCAGTAAGAAGACTTAGGAGGGTAATTGATGATTTCTAGCAACGCCGCTTTTGCTCGTACTCCCTATAGCCGGCTTTGCGGGTGGATGGGGTTGGGGAGAGATGATAGAGGAGAGAGGGAGAGAGAGGGAGAGCCTGGGATAAAATGTGTGTGAAACTAGCCGGAGTGGCTTATTGGTTGTAAATACAATCCTCTGTGATTTGCTGAGAGGGGTCAGGAGAGGTCTGTCGTTGGAATGTTGGAAATGTACCAGAAAAACGGGGGAACTCGGAATGTTGAGATACACAAGCCCGAGGTATAGATAGCTGGCAATTGGAGCAGGTTGACTTTGACTCTGAGAAAAAGTGAGAGTATTTGGGAGGGGGTGGGGTGTTGGTCACAGAGTGAGAAAAAACGAAAGTGGCATCAATCTGTTTATCTAGGGGGTTATTCCCTTTCCGTGTCGCGTCCTGCTTTCATAGTTTGGGGGGAGAACAGGGGGAAAAGAAGGTTCCAATTGTTTGGACGATGAAAGCCGAGTCAAGTCAGTCAGCGGCGTAAAATGTCAGATGCCGGAGCTGAGCCGAGAGAGGGGAGAGTGGTGGATTTCTCAAGCCCGAGCCGAAAGCCTCAGGAGGGGCTGGTTTCTCCACAAACCGTGTCAGGCTTGGGAGGTTGGTGAGAGACTGCGGAACCCCCGACGGCTTATTAGCATCCCCCTAACGACCAGTGCCGCCAGTGATGCCTGCCGAGAGATGGAGTAGCTAGGAGAGATGGAGAATGATGGAGCGACGATACTCCGCCGGGTAATAAGCTTTCACCTGGTAATTATCTCAGCACCGGTTGACTTCTCTCTCTCGATTCCACCGATGGCGCTATTCGGTATTCCAGCCTCTCACAAGCAAGCCTTGCACAAATATTTTCCTTGCCTGGATCCGCTTCAATTAGCAAATCAGCTGATTCTTGCAATTGCGCAATACCACCAACAGCACTTCAAGTCACCTGTACTCTAATCACACAATTGACAGAATATCATAAGCTTGCACTAATCACAGAAAATGAAGACTCCTTCCTTGGGGTAGCACTTCTAATATGCCCCCAAAACAAAATGAAAATGTTACACAATAGAGAAGAATCTTGGATGCCTGCTGTGCTCAATGGCCCTGCCCCTTTCTAATAACTTGTGCAGTGTTTATCAGGGAGAAGAAGAGACAACCAATGAATGAATGAATGAAGCAAAGCTTGTATTGGGAAACTCCACTGATTTTACACACACAGCTGTAGCACTACTACCACTGAATCATTTGACACACACACAAAGCACAGCTGATCGATGTCTATACTGGTACTACACACACACATGCCCAGTGTGTTTACACACATTGGTATGGTGGTGCACAGACACACACCGACCCTTGTCATTGGTTGGGTGTATAATGTCCAGAAAGAAAAATGGGAGGGGCACTTTTTAGCTTGTCACATGGCCTGGGTTGGGTGACATTGTAGTTTGGGGTTGGTGAGGAGCTGGGGTCAAATAAAAATGACCTTTTGTTTTGCTCACACATAAAAAGGGACATGCCCAAACAAGTGGCAGTTGAAGATGAGCCAGTCTGTATGACATGTGACAATTCTTCAACTTTTTACTGGTACTTCTTGTAGCATTAGAAATACAGCTCCAAATGATCACTTTTGAGGTATTATCAAAACCACTTCAAATCCATCTGGACATCTATCTATTTTCTGTAACTGGAGTATACCGGTACTTTAGCTAAACCATCAAGAATATATGTTTAACTATCAAATTAACTTTTAAATCTCTTGTAATTAACCCAAACCACTAAAATCTTGGGCAATTTGGCTAACTTACATTAGAGTTCGTAAGAATATAATATGGGCAACTGATTAATTCTTATAACTGTTGTGTAAAATAATACAGAAGTTAATGAACAAATATGATGCAGTGATACAGAAAGGCCTAAATCTATCACCTGAACATAAATAATTTGTTTAAAAATAGGGCAACAAAAACAAAATTACTTGACGCTACACGTTGGCAACAAATTAATAGAGCCTTCTACATAACAACAGGCCTATGAGCCGAAGCCAGGAGATGAAAATGAAACTAAGGGCAGTGCAGTTTATGCAAGGTGTGATAACTATTTTGGATATAGTATAAAGGATAATAATCATATTATTCACACAGATAAAAAGGCCTTTGACATGGTTTAGTATGCTCTATCAGGCACTCCCTTGTTTGTAAGGGATATTGTTTCCACTCTACTTAATCTAAATGCCCCGCAAAAAAAAAAGGAAAAGAAAAAAGAAGCAAACAATTAGTGAATAGAAAACAGATGGGAGTCAGGAATGTCACGTTAAATCATGATGTAGAAACCATACCACAATAAATAAGAAATATGATTGGTGAGGTGGATGCTTGCAAACTTTGCTAAGTACACTGCCCCCAAGATAGAGCAATTTCGTTATATATTATAGCAATGATGAATACTGGTATGAAGTTATTGACCTCTTATACCTTAGGTCACTTAAAGCCCCACAGCACTACTTGTAGCTACTTGCGCCCTCTATATAGCAAACAATTCCTAAGCGGCAATCATTGGTCCCCATGGTCCCCTTTTTCTTGTGTTAATTGAGAGCTGATTTGATGAGATAACCACCTGTCAGTGACCATGCAGGGTGGTCTAATCCCTCATGGCCAAACTAGTGCAGATAGGCTTTAAGATTAATTCCTAGTTGTTCATCCAGATTACTTGAAATTGATAAGGGAAGATGGTCTGTGTTATTTAATATTTGAAATTTGCCCTGCACTTATAAAATCTTCTTTATAAACATTCACTCATCAATGCACTTCAGAGGCTAAAGACAAGTAAACTTACACATACCAAATCAGAGCTAGAAGGGCATTAACTTAATCTTAAAGTATATGTGTGAACGCCCTTATGGCTCTTAAGAGATGGAACCATTTTTGTTAATTTATTCTCCTCGGGTTCATTTTTAAAACTTCATTTCAATAGTGATTTTGAAGAAGAAGAAAAAAAGAAAAAAGGAAAGCTGTCAAAAATGTGGGATAGAGAGTTCCCCTCAAAATGAACAAAACAAGGTCAAGAATAAGTTAAAGCCCTTCTTGTTCTCGCTTTCCAACAAATTGGGTGGACAAAGTTAATCTCCGATTTCACAATCATCCAATCTTCTGCTAATGCCTCCACGATTGATGGCCAAATCTAAGTGATTGCAACTCAAAAAGAAGTCGTTCCATATTTCTGGTTTATGATACTTGCTTGATTTACGACTTGATACACTTTGAACCCCTCCCATAAAAATATGTGCATTCCAGGGCAGATCCATAAACTATCGGCCTGTTCAGACTGCACTATATCTATAGGGAACTCGTATAAAGAAATGTATGAAGAACAATCTCTTGGCAAAAGGGATGTCCACACTGAATATCAACATCGTTTAAAAGAAACGTCATATAACAAAACTAGTTTTGAAGCCCCATTCAGATACACAATTTTCATACGATACAACTTTGAGATGAGAATGGACCCAAATTCTTCATTGAGTTTTCATTTGAAATGACGATTAAACATGCATTTCACTATAAATAAACAGCATTTTGTACAACAACATTGTGTTTTACGATGTTCAGAGTAGAAAAAGTAATGACTATAATATGATTATTGAATAATCATACAGCTACATGCTTTGGTTAAGCCAAATGATAATTTTGGGTAGTATGAAGAGGGAGTGTATATACTCAAATTTTACTTTTGTGACTGACTGCATATCTGACTCAACTTCAATGACAGAATTATATATCAGCATGTTCAAATTACATATAAGCCTGTTTAAAATAAGATGAAAGACACCACAATATGTCATACAATATTAACTGTGAATTGTGATCTCGCACTAGTACAAAGTGTTTCATTATTTATACATGAATAAGACTTCAAATTTGCCACCCTCCTTTGAGAGAATTCAGGCATATTTAATAGATATATTGTATTCTCATCTCTTTATCAAAGTCCAAATTGTTCCTACTGACCCCAAGATAAGGCTTAGCAAACTAATATAATTCTGATTAGCTGTAAATCTTCAGTTTGAGAAATATTTTAAAAGGATTGCAGTAAATGTTAGGATCTACAGGAGATGTAAATATCTTGGACATATATGTGATAGAATTGTACAACACAATGAACACGTGCTCTGGCGATCGCTCCTTGGTCTATTTACTAATCAAATTCCTAACTTCAATACGTCTCAAACTAAAGCTAACCCCAGTCCTAAACCTTCAAAACATTCAAATCCAATTGCGACTTTAACAAGCCAGAACCCTCTTGCTTTATAAAGTGAAAGATAAGGCCCTCAAGCAAATGTTGCAGGAGTAAATGCCGGATGATAGTCGAGCAACTGTTGAATAGGTCTCAATAAACTTCTAGCGTAAATTCTTGATGAGATGGAGGGTGGAGGATGGCATCAGACAAACAGAAGGATGAGAGAGAAAGATGATGGTGATAAACAAGATGATCATGATGATGAATGACTTTGAGGAGGAGGGAGGGAGAGACTACAAAGATAGATAACGTCCCAGCTTCATTATTTTGAAAATGATATTGGAAATAAAAATAAACAGCTGCAGCAGTTTAGTCTTTTTCATTTGGGCTACTAGCTTGTTCAGTTAAACAACCATTTCATACAGCATTACAAGCACATACATTAAACTGATATATTTAGTTCTTAAGAAATTGCAATGCAAGTATATTTTTATTTTGCAAAATTCAGTTATTGAATGATTGATATATTGATATATTTATTTATTCATTTATTCATTCATTCATTCATTTATTCCCTATGTACTGCAATAAAAATGCAATAAAAATGATAGTTTGTAATCATTTGACTTGTCATTTCCTATTCATTTATCATAAGGGATTAGGGTAAAAACTTCACCCAAAAGGTTGAGTTACAGTAAAGAGTTGAGGCTTTTAAAGAAATGAATTTGTAACTTATTAAGGCCCCTTGAAAAATGTAGCATGGCAGACTTGAATGGTTGACACAAAATTGGGTAATATTGCAGTGCCATTGGCACAACCATATGGTGGTTTAAGAGAAACTATGGCAGAAGCTCATATTGTTAATTATCGTTTCAAAGACTTTAAAAGATGATGAAACATCCAGCGTTTGCAGACACATAAGGAATAAGCTCTTCCATCCACAAGCAATGATCAACACCAACATAAAAGAAAAACTAATTTTTGTTTTGCTTCGGAGAACAAAAGATAACAGAAAACAAATCTGAATGATTGTATACATGTTGATTAAATAAACACTTTTAAAAGCGATGTAAGTGCTTTGTTTACTCTATTCATTAGTTGTGCTTATGACAAGGAAAAAAGTATTATTTACACATACAATGAGAGGCTATTTGAGATCCGATTCAATATATGAACACACAATGTAATTCTGCTTGGATATTGAATCTAATGACGCATATAAATTACACACCATGAAATCATAAGTGTTAAGAATACTAATCTTCT